ATTGTCCCCCGGGTGTGAATAAAGCCGGTGCTGGAGGTCTATACCCACACCTGTCCTAATGTGGTTGCAGTATATGCATCTATGCATTTAATACTGATTGGCTGTTGAGGTCTCCTGTCAACTCTGGGCACAGTTGGGACTTGCTTGGAAAATGGTCATTGAAAAATTCTTTGGGAATAATTTTAAGATGTTTAATTTTGAAAGTACATATGTTAATGCTTTAAAGAATGTTAAAACACTGGCTAGAATAATTTGCAACTACAGTAATCCATAAATATTAAATGAAAACTGGATTATTTATTTCATCTGTTCTTGACCAGAGAAAATGGGTCCAGGATGAGCCAAAATGTTTATCAGTGTTCATCTTCAATTTATGGGTTGGTTGTGAAAGTTGTGCTTTATCTGTAGGTGATTCCTCAACCTGGACGCCTTCATTTGTCTGCTGAGCGTTTAGAACGGTGTGGAGCATATCTGATGGATACAGGAACTACTATATACATATATGTGCGTTCTGGAATTTCCTCAAACTGGGTTGAAGGCACTTTAGGAGTACCTAGCTATGCAGTCATCCCTCAACCTTTATATGAAGATGCTCTTCCTGTTCTGGACACCATGGACTCTCAGCTTTTGTGTAACTTTGTCTCTCATCTTCAAAGAAACAAGCCTTATCATGCCCCTGTTTTAGTTCTGAAGTAAGTATTACGTGCCAGAGTGTTTTAAAGATCCTTTTTTTTTATTATTATTAATATACTGAGTAATACTGTTATGGATGAATAGTCACATGTTATGCATTCTTAGCCTGCCACAACTGGATCTTCAACTAATCTTCATATTTTTTACTTTTCTGTGTGCAGTTATTGAGGCAGTGTTCCTCATTCTCGCAAGCATTATTGTATTCTAATGTCTACTTGTTTTTGTTTTTATGGCAGTACTCCAGGCTTTTACTTACCCTTTTAATGTGCTCTTTTTCATCAACCCTAAGTTATGTGAGGAATCTTAAACAAATGCCTAAAATTTAGTAGTTTAACTAAAAATTTAACCCTTCAGCTAGGTATAGCATCATAACACTGCAGTATGAGGAACTGGCTACAGTGTGTAGTATATGTACTGAACATATTTTGGATGTCTAGTAGAATAGTAGTAGTATTTATGGAATGAGAGCACTGGGTTTTTGTATAACCCAGGGGTTAGGGGCACCAACCCCCCATGCAGTAGAAAATCCATGTATAACTTTTGGCTCCCCCAAAAACTTTACTAATAGCCTGCTGCTGATCTGAAGTCTGATAACATAAACAATGGATTAACACACAATTTGTATTTTTTTTTCTTCAACATGTCGGCTGTCTCCCACCTAGGCGGGTGACAAAAAAAGAAAGATAAATCCCAAAACGAAAATACTTTTTCATCATTCAAACTTTCACTAATCACTCATAATCGCTCGTCTTTTGCAGAGGACATTCAGATTGCAGTTTGGATCTCCCGCCCAAACTGCCAATATCCCAAACACCTTTAAAGTGCAGGCATTGTATTCATTATCTACTTTCCAGTACTGATATTTAGTTAGTAAATTATTTGTTTATTTACTTATTCAGTGTCAGTGCGTATTACTCATATTATTAATATTCAACTGAAGATATTTTGAACTTACGAGTGGGTTCATCAAACGTAACCCCATATAAGTTCTGGAGGCATCGTATATAGCTTTAGGAAAAATGACCAGAAATAATAAGTTGTACCCTGCAAATCTAAAAATGGATGTAAATAGGAGTCCTGTATTAAAGAATCATTTTGATTTTTTAGCTGTATTCAACTAAAGGAAAGTTTCTAATACATTCATACTTTAAAAGCAATCATCTTGCTTACTAGTGCTGGGAGGGTTGGAGATTTTAGTTGGACCAGCAGGCATTATCTATACAGTGGCTGCTGGATAGGGTCAGACAAAACTACTATTGCCAACGTAGAACTTCTTTTACACAGAGCAGGCTCCATTTGGCAAGAGGAGCCATGCTTTCTGGGTCTCCACAATGAAGTACTAAAAACAGTAAGCTTTTGTTTAGTGTAGGTAAACATTCAAACCACTTAGGGGCCTGTTCAGGAAGCTTTTTATAGGTATGCAGGAATCCCTGGATTCTGATCAGGTGATTTGGAGACATTAAATTTCATCTCATGGTTGCCATGAGACAGTGTGAGGCAAAAGGCAAGATCCACATTGGTTGTGCAGTGCTGCTGGTCACCCAGTAGTGGTGATAAACCCCCAAATACCCTGTCTGTGATTCTATGGCTCTCGTGACTTTGTCAGTGTTTATAAAGGCCTTAGAGCAGTATACTTACTGTCGCAAAAAAAATATGAAGATTTAATAAAATACCCATAATTGCTTTCATGGAATGTCCATGGGTTAACGTTGGCACCTGCTTGGCATTAATACATGTTGCTAAATCAAATTTTTTCACTGTACAAAGATCTTTCTGCCTTAATTTTCAATTATCTTTAAAAAAAATTGTACATTTCCAACTCTATTTTTAGTTCGTTTGCCATTTTTAACTTGCTTCGTATTTGTTTACAATGTAAGATGGAAAGGACAGACCATACATTTTAATTTTAATGATTGTGTGTGTAAAAAGATTTTTTGTCCTAAATGTGTTTACTTTCCCAGGGAAGACAACCAGCTTCGTATGATGTTTATTCTAACATCTCGTGGACGACCAGAACAGAAAAAGCTCACATATTATATTGTATTCCTTCTGTTTCTCAAAACTCAAATAGAAAAGTAGGAATTTTATATCGATGTAGTATCAGGAAGGAAAGGGAAGTGCAATTTCTTTGAATTTCTAAATCTGCAATCTCATTTTGGTTATGGTATGTAAGCCAATTATTATAATTACTGTTCAGTTGTTGAATAAATAGCAGTTAGTGGCATGGATTATAAAGTTGTATAAAAAAAAGGTTGCAATGCAGAGGCAGTTCTGGGGCTAAGCAGATAAAACTGAAAAATTGTTAATCCATGATAGTTACCAAGTTTTTTAAGGGGATGTATTATGGTTTTCATTTATTTTATAACTAGGATCTTGAAGATTTTGTAAACGTAGGTGTTGAAGATTCTGGTTTTGGCAATTGGGCAGTTCTGTAATTTGATTCCTGTGGTCGCCAATTTTTTTAAAAACATACTTTTGTATGGAGAAAAGTTTTTATGTGATCAGTAGTAGTCAAAGTTTTTGAGAGACCATTTATTTTTAAGCTATCAGGATATATGTATGATAGGTTATCCTTGTATACAAGTGAAAATATCTTTATTGTCTTTCTTTACTATCCTCGATTGTAGATTTGTATGTGGGTTTGTGGTATTTTTCAAATTTTATATTTGAATAGGATGCATTATATTTTAGATTGTGCAGAAAACGCTACATCTAAAACGCATTTTATTTAGCCAAGAGTGAAGCTGATTATCAGAAATAAACTGTTTTTGAATCCATCACCAGAGATCTGTTATTAAAATTCAATAGGGGCAGTATTGTTTGAATAATGACTCTGCACATTATGGCATTTATTGTTTTCATAATGGAATTATAATAAATTAAACAGGAAAATGTATTCAGAGTATTTGCAACTAGTCTGTTAATGTTCAGGTTTTTTCCCTTCTATACTATTGGATTTTGTAAGTGTTTATTTTATAAGACACATGTTCAACATAAAGTTTGACAGTTGATTCCTGGAGCAATTGGTTTTAAACATTATACTATTATTTAGAAAAATTGGGCATGCATAATCTCCCTAGATGGCCCCCCCCCCCCCCCCCCCCAAAAAAAAAAAAAAGTGTTAATTATCTTATGAATTTGCTCTCCTAGTTAAGATATTTATTATACTTTTAACTTCCTAAAATGTATCTGTAATATGAAGGGCAGCGCTTCAGGATTCTTATCAAAGAACTTTTGCTTAAAAATTGGGTATGATGTCACAATGTTTATGTACCTATTTATTGGTGATTTAGATTTTTACGATGTCACTGTTAATAAGATTTCAAAAGTTCATACAAATTTTCAACCGTCTCAATTATATTTAAGCCTTTTTATAAATGCACTTTATGAGAGGAAAAATAATGGTTAATTAATGAAATAAGATTGTTGACAGTAACAAAAATATATATTTTTTTGTTTATAAATTTGTGTACTGTTGTAAAATATTACTATGCTCAATTCCTTTTATGAAACATGTCTTGTGTCACCTTTTCTTTTGTAGTTTTGTATTTACATGTACATATGTACACACACAAACACACACACACACACCACACACACACACAACACACACACACTCACACACACACACACACACACAACAACCACACACACACAACACCACACACACACACTACACACACACACACACACACACACACACTGGCTTTATAGCTCGAGTGGTCAAGAGAGCCTATTTTCGTTAAATTATTTTTCCATATGAATATGAAATTTATATTTTATCTTTTTTAGGAATTTACATAGCATTATCCTGCTGCCTATTTAGAATCAGGCCTAAAATTTGTATTCAAAATTATTTGTGATACATTATTTTGCCAGATTATAGCAAAAATGAATATATGCTCTCCTTGTTTGGCATAACCATCCTTTTCTTTATAAGCAAAGGCTCAAAGCGCTGTATAGCCTTGTGTGTCTTAGCGCTTCATTTTGATTATAATAATAAAGCAAGGCGCCAAAATTCATCCATTCGTGGTCTCTAGTGAAAGCATGTACATTACTACTGTATTTACATGGGCCCCGCCGTTGTAGTTGCCGAAGCATACTTTCACTATGAAGCAAGGCCAAATGATGGCTACAACTATACATAAAATCTTTATTTTTCATTGGTTTGAAACTGGAACCCTCCCCCATTGTAAGCAAATTCGATAATTTTCCTTGTAAAAATTTAACTCGAGAAATCCAGCTGCCTGTTAATGTCGGGCGTAATGTATGTATTAGATCATCTGTATTATAATACATATATAGATATACAACTGTTGTAGAGCTTCGCAGGCATGATATTTGAGGTCTGAAGAATGGTATGGAAAATATGGAAACATTTTTACACCTTTATACAGTTGACCAAAGGAAATTATGGCATTTGAATCAGTGGTTGGCAATGCATCATCAATCATGGTTATAGCCAACCAAGATGTGAATTGATGTCTGGCTGTAAAATTGTTGTAAATAAAACCCAATTCTTTAGTTTATATACACATATTAGCCATTCCTGGAATAAACCACTGCAAAGGACAGTTGTATAATTATTTTTGTTCTATGTATTTATCAGGTTCATCGGAAGGGCCACACATTTTTCACAAGATAGGTCTGCACAAACTGTTTGCCTGATGACATTTTCAAATTTGATTAAGCAGTGATGGATAATTTTATATACATATATATTTATATAATTATATAATATTATTTATATATCGTGCCAAAGAACTGTTGAAGGATGACACTAGTATAAAAAACATAGGTGGTAATTTACTAAATGCTGTGTAAAGATTTTTTATGAGGTTAGTGAAGGCTCAGGTTCAGGGTTGTAGAAAGAGAGGGAGAATACTTCCGGTAAAAGTAAGGTCTTAGATCAGGGAGATGTTAATGTCACCAGGTTGTTTAATATATTTATTTCAGATGGGGTTCGTAAAAGAAGTAAATGCCTAGGGTGTTCGGTGAAGGGGTGAGGAATTAAATTATGGGAAACTCAAATACAAAAATGGGAATTGGACTCGGTTACTTTTGGACTGTGCTTATGGGAGATTCTCAAAGCAAAACTTGCAAAGCGGTTAAGTGGATGAGTTTGGGAGTGTGATGTCTAAAGGTAGATAGAAAGTTTGAAGTGGAACATAGAAAAAGAGTAGGTGATGAGGGTATCAAATGATTTAGATAAAGAAGAAATTGGATATCAAATTGGGGAGGGAGGAGTATGGAGAAGTGAATGTTTTCAGTTACTTGGGGAGTTGACGCTGTCGGCGAGGATTATGAGGATGAGGTTAAATCATAGAATTGATGGAAGGAAAAAAAAAGGCGAGTGGTGCGTTGAGGTATATGTGGAGTCACAAAAAACATTATCTATGGAGGCAAAGAAGGGAATGTATGAAAGGTATAGAAGATCACAACACTCTTATATAGGTGTGAAGCTTGGGGTAGTGAATTGCAGCAGCATAGGAGGTGGTTGGAGGCAGTGGCAGATGTCCTGTATAAGGCAATGTGTGGTGTAAATATTACGCAGAAATTCGGGAGTGTGGAAATTAGAAGGTGTGGAGTTAAAAAAAAAGTATTAGTCGGGAGGGCTGAAGAGGGGTTGTTGAGGTGGTTCGGTCATTTAGAGAGAATGGATCAAAGTAGAATGACATGAAAGCATTAAATCTATGGGGGAAGGAAAGAGGGTAGGGGTCGCCCTCGAAAGGGTTGGAAAGAGGGGTAAAGGAGGTTTTGTGGGTGAGGGGTTGGATTCCAGCAAGCCTGCATGAGCGTGTTAGATAGGAGTGAATGGAGACGAATGATACTTGGGACCTGACGATCTGTTGGAGTGTGAGCAGGGTAATATTTAGTGAAGGGATTCAGGGAAACGGTTATTTTCATATAGTCGGACTTAGAGTCCTGGAAATGGGAAGTACAATGCCTGCACTTTAAAGGAGGGGTTTGGGATATTGGCAGTTTGGAGGGATATGTTGTGTATCTTTATACGTATATGCTTCTAAATGTTGTATTCGGAGCACCTCTGCAAAAGCAGTGATAATGTGTGAGTGTGTTGAAAGTGTTGAATGATGAAAGTATTTTCTTTTTGGTGATTTTCTTTCTTTTTTGGGTCACCCTGCCTCGGTGGGAGACTACCGACTTGTTGGAAAAAAAATATATATATATATATAATAATACAACCACACACAATATTTACTATATATTTTTATTGCAAAGAATGATGGACATCATTTCTTTTTTAATACTACATATTAAACAGAGTACAGTAATCCATATCAATGCAAATATAAAATGTTTTGTTTAACAGATTAGTGATTATCTAGAGATCACACTTTCTGGGAAGCAGTCACATTGTACCGTCTTGGGATTTCATGCTCTGTGTCAGCCCTGTCAAAGAGTATTTCGCCAGGGTGATGAAACCTGAATAAATGTTGCTGCAATGTGTTTCCATGCATGGAGGCTTGTGTGTACCTTGGCAGTGTACACAAACTGTTCTCAAGGTGGACTCTTGCTTCTTTCATGGTTACTTCCATACATCTTAACCTTTGGGGCTGTTAGTATATGTATATTTTCTAGTTAGGCCTTGTTGTGGAAGGAGCATTTTTTTTTTTTTTAAATCATCCTTGTGCTCTGTGGCGAGCTGGAAAACCATTGTGTGAAGTAATGCTGTTTTGCTTAGTCCATTTAGACTTCTGAATGTGGCACTGGTTGAAATAAGAGGGATCTCTGAATAATGAAGGCAATGAGGACAGTTATGATTGACTATGTAAACAGATGGCTAAATATCTAGTAGTTACAGAATTGAAAAATTAGCTGTACTCACTGATTTGCTAAATAGACAATTGGTGGCAGGCATAAGTTTGGTGATGTATGAGTATTATTCAAGAAGTACATGGGGTAAGCATCAGTGGAACCCAAGCCATTCCAGATGACTTGTATACAGGATTTAGTTGCTGGAGGATGATGCTGTTGGCTCAGGTACAGACGATAAGTACAGGGCCTAATCTTAACAGGAGTTTTACGAAGGCCACGTTGCAGTAAGAATCTGCTAAATAACCATGCTTGGTACTATTGTTTTAAAAAAATGTTTGCTTTTTGACTTGTCAAAGTTTTAAGAACAATATAAAGCATGGTTGTCTAGCATATTTTAACTTCAACTTGGTATTAGTAAAATTGTCTTAAGTAATCCTGTGTGTAACTTGACCCCCCAACTTGGGAGCATCCTCTCATATTATGTGGCAGTGTTGACGTATATATAGTCCGGCTGTGCTCTTGCGTTCACAAAATGCGGAGTTCATGAAGGTTTTTCAGTGCTGCATGACGGCACAAAGGTGTAGCTGGAGTCATGGTGAAAAAAATTGGCTGACACTCTTCGTTAATGGTGGCACTTTGCAACACAACCTACCATTGCTCATAGTGCAATAGGCACCAAATGGTATTTCCAAAGAATGACAACACAAGGATGGCCAGATAACCAAAGTGGCTGGAAAATAGTTTGCGGGTTATAAATTGGCCAACCATTGATTGTGCAAGGTAGTAGTCAGTTCCTTCAAATCTCCCTTCCCTGTTCTTAGGGCAATCCTTGTAGGACAGTTAAATTTATTGTCATAGTTTTCAGTCTCATGGATTACAAAACCTGGTATGCATTTTGTAATGTGATTGTAATAATGGGGGTTTGCCCCCATTACCCAGGAAATTTAGCTGATTTTTATTATTATTATTATAATCAAGGGGGAAGCGCTAAACCCGGAGGATTATACAGCGCCTGGGGGGGGGGGGTTGTGGAAGGCATTCAGGCTTAATTCGGGGAACTGGAGCACAGATCCAATTCCCTAAATCAAGAGCCCCTCACCAACATCAAGGAACCTTCCTTGAGGGGGGCTGATTTGTAGCTTTTGATGTGGATTGGATTTTGTAATCCTTTTGATGTGGATTGGATTTTGTAATCCTTTTGGTTCTAAACTATAAAACTGAATAGATAGAAATTGACTGGTTTTAGTATTCAAAACATGAAAGGATTTCTTTGTACAATCAGCAGGGAATGGAGGTTGCCATTATTTTTTTTAGTGGTAATTAGAACAGTGGAATAAAATACAGCAATAAGATACCACTAGAAAGAAGATGGGGCAATGTCATATCTACAAAGTTTATAAAGGTTTTAAACCAGTCACCTTATTTATATACCAAAGAAAGATTTAGTCTTTTATTATGTAACAAATGGGATCATTTTAAAGGCAATTTCACTTAATAACAGTATAGTAATTTATTCTGGATTAACATTTAAATGGTCATTGGCGTAGTTTTTGCAACACCTATGTATATAAACGATTTCCTGTACATCTTTTACAAAATTAGGATAGAAAATATAAAAAAGTTATGGTTATAAGCCAACAAAGCCGTGTGGTCAAGTTCACTCATTCGTGTAACGGACATCCTGAGAGAAGCTGCAGCCAGATCTCTGAATGATCTCTGTTGCTGCCCAAATTCCGCATTTGATGCAAGCCTCTATTGTCTTGCCTTGAATCAACTGTGCCATGAAACCTGAAGATAATAGAGGCTTTGTTATTTTATTCATGTATGAGCACTAAACAAAAGTCATGTAGTGCTTGGGAGGCAGTCAAAATCAGAGGAAGAGGAGCAGGTAAAAAAATTTATGGTTCCTTGAATCAAATTATATTTTATAATAAAAGAAGGGGCTAAGCCTCCTTGAATCAAAGATGACTGCCTCTCATTCTTCATGGATTGTATGACCCCTAACAGTTTGGGTTTTACTTGTAAATTATAATCTGCAATTATGAAAAAGGTGCAAGAGGTATAATACTTGGAAAATAATGGTTTTATGAAAGCTGATATGCAGTTTATATATAATCTAAGGAACTGGGCTTAAACTCGCATTCTTTGGATCAAGTCTGTAGGTCTCCCAGCTATTGTATGATCCTTGGTAGTTTAACACTTCCCTGTGGTTAAAATTAATGAAATATGGGCTGTACTTATGAGCAAGCGAAAAACTGTCAGTTGTACTATCTTTTTTCCCTATCAAGGAAGGTGCCATGAGGGGGGGGGGGGGGGTGCCCTCCTAATCCAAGAAACGATTTTAAGTGCTAAACCCTTGAGGGTCCAAGGAATGCATTATCCTTACTTTCCTTGGGCTGTATAAGCCTAGTGGGTTTAGCACTTTGGTCTGATCCAAGGGAAAAACTTATCAAAACCAACTGATTTCCACTATGCATTATATGACTAACATGGGTTTAGTTATTTGAATGGGGGGGGGGGGAAGAGAGCATGAGCAGTGTTAGTATATTGTATGCTATAAATTCAGAGCTAAACAACTCTTTGTTAAAACACCAGGGATGTAAAATAATTCATAAGTTGGGGGAGGGAGCCTATATATTTATATGATGCAGTTTCAATCCCAAACCTGATTGCCTCCTATTCTCCAAGAACTGCATTACCCCTGAGTTTACAGTATTATATTTAGGGGGAAACTGCTAGTGTTATTTGTTTTCACAACTTAAGAAGCTTATTTTTGTATCATTATTATTATTATTATAATCAAGGGGAAGCGCTAAACCCGTAGGATTATACAGCGCCTGGGAGGGATGTGGAAGGCATTCAGGCTTAATTCGGGGAACTGGAGCACAGATCCAATTCCCTAAATCAAGAGCCCCTCACCAACATCAAGGAACCTTCCCTGAGGGGCTTATTTTTGTATCAGATTCAAAGAAAACCATTTATCAGACATAAACCCTTTCAATGTCTCCTATGCTGATTGTTACTGACACCAATAAGCTTAACACTTGGTTTTGATTGTAATACTACTGATGCCAGTGTCGTTCACGTAGATCTACATTTTAAGCACACCACCCTCAAATATGCAGCAAGATATAAAATTTGGCCTAAACATGAGATAATGGGTCTGCAGTGCATGTGTGTGTAGCAGCAGCAGCAAAAAAAAAAAAAACTAGTGATATATACATGAATCTGTAGTGTCACACCAGAAATATTTTGAAATAGGCCTCTTGGAAATTTTATTTTTAGTGATTCCTGAGAAAGGGTTGGGACCCCCTGGTCTGTTGAATGGGTTTTTACTATCTCCAATTGTATCGAGTAGACCTAAACCATGACCAATCATTCTTGGTCATATTTTTATCAGAGAAATGGGTAAAAAAAGAGCAAGTGGTATATAGAAGAGGCCTGGGGACATGATTAATGAAAAAGGGGAAAGAATGATTTAGGGCTGGAATACCTACTGGGGTTAAGTGCACAACTGGCCAAGTACTGTGCACTTTGTAGGGTAGGTCTGATAGTTGAATGTACAGTTTCTTCCTCTCAATCAATAAAACTGAAGGCATATTAGTGAAATAACTAGGGAGTGGTCAAACTGAGGAATAGGACAAAGTGAGCAAAATTGTCAGTGCATTAACTTTGTCACTGTAATTCTACAGATTTTCCATCAAATTTAGCATTTTTGGTGTTGCCCTGTTCTGAAATGTGGAGATTTTTTTTACTACAACAACAATGGCACTTTATTTTGGGTGTCAAGAGTGAAAGGGTTAAGCTCAGTGGTGTAGCCAGGTTCTAAAGTTATGGGGGAGTGAGCACATAGCAAAAAAAAGTCATGACACGTACCGAATAATTTTAAATTTGTTATACATTTTGTTTTTCAAATCAAAATGCAAGGAAGATGGTTTTAACCCCTAAACTGTCCAAACGTAGATTTTTTTTTTTTTTTTTTTTTTTTTTACATGCTTTCAAATGAGGAAAATCAAGGTCAGAGCACTATGCACGTAAACATAGATCTACGTTTGGACAGTTTAAGGGTTAAACGAACCACATAACTGTTTTGTATTTAAAATCAAAATAAAAAGTTTAACAGTAAGCTCTAAACATAAAAACTATTTTAATTTTAAATGTAAAATTAAAAATTAAGCAATGTGAGAAATGTATTAAGTAACTAGTCTTTTGTTTAGGCATTCTGGCACCACCTTTCATCCAGACTCTCTCATTGACTTTTTGACAACAACTGACTTACTTCACAAATTCTGATACCTTCAGCCCTTTCTACTTCAATCTCTTGCTACCCTCTACCCCCGTACTATCCGCTGTTTTCTGTAACCTACTGATCGTCCCTCCTCCCTTCTGCCATCCAATACCCTCGCCTCCTTCCCTAACCTGCAGCGCTGTATAGCCCTTGTGGCTTAGCGCTTCTTTTTTATTATAATAATAATCATTCTGGCAAAGTTATCTATTACTTTATTAATCCAGCTCAGTAGCCAACTCTTTCAATGGATTGCCAAGCAAAGCTAACCCAGACAATCTATCCTCACCCATTGTAGAACCAAGGTAGGACTGTTTGAGCCCAGTAAAGGATCATTCTGCAACTACACTAGTTAATGGTAAGGTCAGAAAAATGTGGTACATTGTGGACAAATTAGGATAAATGGAACACGCATCATTGACCCAAGTGAACTAAAGTGTTAAGAAATTGTTGAAAAGGCGCCAGGAAAGCAGTCATTTCCCTTGCTCTCCCTCTAACTCCACCAGTGGCTAAGCTACTTCACAGCCAAGTTCTTAATTTGTTATACAGTGCACAACTAAGTGGAATACTGCATTATAAAAAATGTCACAATTTCATTACACTCTTCCATGAAACTGATTAAAAAAGAAATCTTACTTTAATTTCAATAAACCACACTGCATTTTGCAAAACTCACTTAGAAGGTGCCTAACCAAACAATCATGGCTTACCTCCAGTAAATGCATCACCAGCACCATTAGTATCTATTAGTTTTTCTTCAGGTAATTTGATTGCCGGAAACTCTGAGATTTTCCCATCTGCAAGATGCATATATTAAGACATTATACAGAAATTTGAGAATTGATATATGTATAATTGGCCTGGTTAGTTATTTACACCTCTTCAAGGGGGGCTCCTTGGCTTGGTGAAGAGGCTCTTGGTCTGAGGAATTAGCCCTGTCGGTCTTCTTCCTCAGACCAAACCTAATTACCCCCCATTCTCCCCTCCCCTATCCCATCCTCCCCTTTTTCCATTCCTCCTCCTCCTCCCCACCCCTCCCTTTTGCCCTTCCTCTTTTTGGCCTTTGGGATTTCTCCCACAGGCGCGCTAGTTCCTAGGTAGGGGAAAGGACAATGGGGTCCATCCCATTCCGTTGAGGTTCTTGGCGGTGGCGTAGTTTGCCGTGGAATCTGGATCGCCTGGGGATGTCCCGATCCCTCTCCGGTATCCCGGAGTAGCTTTGGGTGTCTTTCGGGCGACGGGTGTATCTCTGGAAGCCACCTTTCGGATTCCGGGGGTGGTGGCCGAAGGAGGTATGCTTTGTGGCGGATATCCGGCCGCCCTCTCTTTTGTCCACCGAGGTAGCTCGGCAAATGTGAGGTTGCTATCCCGGATTGCTGGTTTACTGGCATGAAGGGTAGGGTATGGCACGGGTTCCATGCTGCATCTGCGCTACTAGCGGTGTTGAGGTCCTCTTGGGCGCGGAGGGAGATTTCCGGCCCTTTCATTCCTCCTGGGAACTATTCCTCCCCGCTCCCCCCTTTTTTTATTTTTTTTTATTTTTATTTTCTTTTCTTTTTTTTTTCTTAACCCTTTGACTGTTTTCGACGTATAAATACGTCTTACGAGCCAATGTTTCTGACGTATATATACTCAATAATTCTAGCGGCTTCAAATCAAGTGGGAGAAAGCTGGTAGGCCCACATGTGAGAGAATGGGTCTGTGTGGTCAGTGTGCACCACATAAAAAAAATCCTGCAGCACACATTGCGTAATGAGAAAAAAAAAACTGATCGTTTTTTTTTGGGAAAAAAACGCCGACTTTGAGGTGTATTTTCGTATAGTATTTATCGTTGTATTCGCGTTTTCATGGTCTTAGGTGATAAAATGGAAAACATGTTACAGAAATGGAGATGATTTTCGTTACTTTTACGATGAAAACGACGTTGAAACTGAGCTCAAAGTAGCGGAAATGTTCGATTTTTACCAATGTTCAAGGGTAAATAAATCACACCACACGCCCAATACACGTCAATGGGGAGTCTAATATTCTTTCATTAGTGCATTTGATATTATTTATCCCTTTTTTTACAATTTTTTCAGTCGGTTGTTAAAAGAAATTTTTTGTTTTTTTTTTGTAGGAAAAAAAAACAAATTTAGAAAGAAATTAATAATAAAGGGGGGGTTTGAGATGTGATTTTTGAAAGGCATATGTTATTTTAGTGCCCGAATGTTCCCTTGTTTTTTCTGGACCCTATTTTAAAATTTGGGCATTTTTTTTTATTTTCCCGGTAAAATTTGGGCCAAAATTTTGGCCAATTTCTGATCACCAAGGGGGTTTGGTCCAAATTGTAAATGGGAGGTTTTTTGTCCCTAAGTTGTTTGAAAAGGGAAGTTCCCCAAAAAGAAATTAGTATGGGGTTGGTAAACGGAACAAGGGGAATTTGGCGGTTAAAAATTGGGCTCAAAGTCGGCGAAATCGCCGATAGCATATGTCGCCGGAGACCGCAAACTTCGCGGGGGGGGCATAATTCCACGGGGTTTTCGCCCAAATTTCGAATTTTTTGGTGTTTTTCCCAAATGGGGAAAAAAGATTCCTTTCATTTATAAAAAAAAAAATTTTTTTTTTTTTTTTTTAAAAAATTGAGCGAATAGAAGGGACAGTTTCAAGAGGGGGGCCCTAAAAACATTTAAAAGGGTTTTAAAAAAAATTTTGCAAAGGAGTAACCAAATAGGGGAAAAAACCCAATCCATGAACCCACTCCCCCCGGGCCCTTTTTTTTTTACTGCCCCCCATTTAAACCTGCCTTGTGTTTAGCCCACTCTTTTGGAAAACCCCTTTGATCCCCCTGTCCCTCTTGCTGGTGCTGTTTCCTCCCCCTGCTTCAGGTACCGGGGTTTTCGACGGGACTCCTTCGATTGGGCCCTAAAAACCCGCTCTCCTTTGACTAGCTTCCAGCTTTCCCTCTACGGTAGGGCCCAATTTTTCCCGAATCGCCCCCCCCAATTTCACCCCGGCCAACCCCGGGTCCACTCCAAAACCCCCAACTTTCAATCTCTGATGATGTTTTTTTCTTTTCCCTTTTCCCCTTTTCTACTGGGAAAAAGACCGCCCGTCAAGCACCCCCTTCCCCAAAAGCTAAATTTTTCTGACCCCCAATGGATAAATTTTTTAAATTTTAAAAGACTGACTTTTTTCTTCTGCCTACCTTTCTGACCATGTATTGGAAAAAGGGGTCCTGTTTCATTTTGGGTTTAGAGAAATTTCATTTCATGCTCTCGAGCGGTTGCACATGGTCCTGTCCGGGAATTTTAAACCCAAGTCATGATCTTTCTTTCCTTTTTGGGAAATACGATACTACCCCTATCGCTATTAAAAAACATCTTTCTCTCAATTCTTTTTAATTTGGTATGTAAATTTCTCCCCCATCCCATAGTCCAACAGAAATTTCCAGCTGGGGCCCAATAAAACATTCTTGAACAGCTGGAACTCCAGGATCTCCCAACCCTCAAAGTAGACTTTTAAGTTTCCTCCCCGGGGGGGGGGGACCTTTTCCCTTGAAATGGGTCGTTTAACATTTGACACCCGGGGGAACCCCCGTCCTTGTATATGTCCCCGGGACATTGGTTACAAGTTCAAAAAAGGGGTCCCTCCACCCCCAACAATGTGGGAAAATTTGTGGGGTTTTGGCCCCCCAAGCAAAAAAAAAGCAGATCTATGGCGAAGGGCCCACATCCCTTTTCCTGGGCCCATTCTAATAACTTGCATTTAAACCCTCCATTTCCCCAAATTGTAATGAAGCTCCCCCTTTCGTACCCCGCCATTGCCAGGTCTATTTTAAAGGGAACTTTTGGAAACCGTTGCCTAAAGAGGAAAAAAGGGTCCCCCTTATGCTAGGGGCAGTTATTATTCCGCCCCAAAGGGAGTTTCCCAATTTTTGCTTAATTCTCGTTTTTTCCCCAAAAATCCCCCAAATTTCTGGGGTCCCATCTTCTGCAGCCTCCTCTGTTTTTTACCCCTCCCATGGGCCACTCCGGCATCTAACCCTTTTGTTTGCCCTTGGGGCTCTGACGTCCCAACTACAATTCAGTCTTTTCTAAAACCCTTCGCGTCCTTCCCCCACAACCCCCAGTATCGAAAAGACCTTGTACGACCCAAATCCCCCAATCCCCCCTCTACTTCTAAAGAAGCCCAAAAAACCCACATTGCTCAAATTTTTTTGGGCCCCTTCCTTCCCTTTTCCACCCCCAACATTTTTAACCTTTCCAGCTTGTACCTGTTCTTCCCTCTCTCGGTTTTTTAAATGTGGGAGATTCCCCCTTCCCCCTTTCGTACTTCCCTTCCCCCCGGTCCCCTCCCAATTTTCTCCCTCTTCTGCCACCCCGGTTTTTCTCCCTTTTTCGGGTTCCCCCCCCCCCACACTTCATCCCCATTTCCCTTCCCACTCTTCCCCCCCCTTTCCTTACTTTGGTAAGTCCTTTTACTGCCCCCAAATTTTTTACTCACCCTCCTCCTTCTATTCCAATAGGGTTTCTCCATACATTTTTGGGAATTCAGAAACACTTAAACCCCATTTCAAAAATATTTTTGCGAGACTAAACTTCAAGGGGACACTGTTTCATTCCCTGTTCCTTCTCTTCCCTCCCCTTTCCATTTCAAACCCCATTTTTCGAAACGCTCCTTTCCCTTCGTCCCTTTAACGTTTTCCCCAAATGCCACCACCCTTTGACTTTTCTAACCCCTTTAGTCCGAAGGTGCCTTTACCTACAGATTCCGGGTTTATTTTCTTCACCCGCCAATCAGGGCCCCCTATTTACAGTGAAAAAATCCGCGGCCCCCAGGGTTAAAACGGGCGGTGAGTTCAGATGTTGCTTTCCCGGTTTTCCCCCGTTGGGGGCTTGCTTCAAGAACCCAAAATTTTCACCTCGGCGTTTTCCAACCCATCTCAGGCTATAATTTATTTTATTCTTTGGGGTCCTTTTCAGATGGGGCCTTTAAAGAAAGTTCCCCTTTTTTCGCAATTTATTCCGTACTTTTCAAAATATTTTTTCCCTACCTCGCTGCCCTTACACGCAAACCCCAAACCACTTGAATAAGTGGTTTACAATATGTTCTTTATAAACTCTTTCCTTCTGAGCCCTTTTTATCCCAGACTTTGGGTTTTTTTGTTTTTACCTTACCACCCATTTTTTGTTACTTGGTGGGTTTTAATGCCCACCAAATTTTCCCTTGGGGGGGGGGGCCCCATTGTAATCGGGGCATCCAGTTTGGAAAACCCTTCCCCCCCCCATGTTTTTTAAAAAGGGTATCCACCCTTTTGATCCCCGTACTTTATACTCTCTCTTGCATTTGATCTATCCCGTCTGTCTTCCCCCACTTTCACAGACTTCCCCCTGGTTTTGGTTTTTACCGGACTTACATGAAGCGATCATTTTTTCCCAAACTTCTTACTTCTCCTTCCTATTCACCCCTTTCCGTAGCCTCCTGGCCCAAATTTTATCGGGCCAAAAAAATTTGGGTCTTTACCCCACGCCCACTGCCTTTTTTGTGAGGTTCCTTTTCATTTCCCCCATTGATGAAATCCTTTAAAATCTTCTCGACGTCAGTTTATACCGCAGCTTTCATTCTTAAAACCCCCAAAACCCCAGGCAGGCATTCTCAGAAGTGCGTGCCCCTTTGGGGGTTCCTGTTGTGCTCGTGCAGTACATTTGAAAAAGCGGGTGCCCCTGGGGAAAGGGACGGACAAAAGGGAACCCCCTGAGAGACTTCTTGTTTTTAAGGGAGAAGCGGGTTGTCGCCGTGTCATCCGTGAAGCTAAAGCACTTTTTTGGTGAGACTATGTTTCCCCCCCATACCTTGCTTCTTCTTTTGAAGCAGTCTGGGAAAAAAATTAGGAAAATTTAGTGGTAAAAAAACTCTCTGAAACCCCGGGTCTGTTTTACGGGGCGCCGGGGGTTTGGGTGTAGCAAACCCTTGACGTTGCCAAATTTAACTTGGACCATTGGTCAATTTCCCCAAGGGGGCCCCTCTATTTCCCCCCGTTTCTTTCCTCAAAGTCTGCCAAAAGAGTTGTACCCTTGGGGCTTTTTTTCTCTCAAAAGAAGAACCGTTTAATGTGCCTTTTACACTTTAAGAAAATAGAGGGGGAACACTCTCAGCTTGCCGGGTCTCGGCCGCTGGGCCCCCGACCCCGGGCCCCTTTATATTCGTATGTTACAACATTTTTCAAAAAACGTCAGCCCTTTTTTGTCCCCTTACACCCCTTTCAATTTATTTTGGCCCCAGGGAGTTCTTTCCCCAAACCCGTGGAAAAACTGCCATTGTTCCCTTTCGCAAACTGAGGTACTACAGGGGCAGGGTGCCCCCCACTATCGTCCCCTCGCTTTTTTAATAGTGCAATTTGCCCAAAATGATGGAATGTCTCGTAAAAAAAGACGTTTTTTAATTTTGGTATTTAGAGCAAAACAGTCTCTCCCCAAAACAATATGGCTTTTGTAAGGGGCGTTTTACCATAGACCCCTTACTTCGCTTGGATTCTTTTGTTGTAATGGGCCTTTTTTCCCAATAAAACACTCGGTTATTGCCATTTTTTTTTGGGCCTTGAGGGAAAGGGATATGGGCAAAACTTGGAGGGGATAATATTTTTGGGGCCCCGGCCCATTCCTTAAGCCCCTGAGGCAATCTTCCCTCTTCCTTTAAAAAATTTTTAACTGAAAGCATTTCCGGGGTTCGAGTCAATAATGTTCTTTCCCGGACTTTGTCCCAAATGAAGGTGTCCCTCAGGGATGTTTCTAAGCACAAATTTTTCTCCTTGCTATAAAATTTATTTTGGGGGCCCCTGTTTTTTCACCCAATATTTGGTCATCACTATGTTGATGACTTCGCTATTGCTTGTTTCAGGCGCTTTATTTTTCTTTTTTTATTGCAGTTTCTCTTTCCCGCAACGGCCCCACCGTGTTTTTGGGCCACCAAAGCAAGGGTTTAAATTTTCAAGTACCAAAAATCACCAAAAATTTCTTTTCAAGACGCTCTGTTTAAACTCCGTCATCCCTTTTTATCTCTATGGCTCCCGTTTTCCCGAACGGGGGAAGTCAGGTTTCTAGGGCCCTTTTCTTTGGGCCCTAGGTTATCCCGGAAAACCCCCCATTACCTTTTCTGAAGGCCCAAATTTTTCCCCCGCGGCCCCTTAAAAACCCTTTTTTTAAAAAACCCTTTCTCATTTCCCCGGGGGGCTGATCGTCCCAACCTGCTTCCCCCCTTCATTCAGCCCCCGTTTTACGAAAATCGTTTGGTACCAGAAATTGGGCCGGGGGCCGGCCCGGGGTATCCTTAGCCAACTCTTTAACCCCAACCAAAGGTTTCGGTTTTTGCCTTTGGGGCTTTTTGCTCTTCCCCCGTTGGAGCCCTATGCAGAAGCGAATGTTCCTCCTTGTCTGATCGCCGTGAAAAGCCCCTTGCCCTTCACTACTAGTAGCTCTCTCGGGTCTACACAATCCTTCCATTTATAGAAGGTCCCGTATTTGTAGAAAATTTTTATTCGTTCGCCACCCTGTTTGCCCCCGGTTTCCCCTTTTCTCTTCGCCTACTTTTACTTTGTCTTCCCTTCAGTTTTCCACCTTTAAAATGTTTTTGTAGCAAACTTCCCCTTTTCCCTTTCCCCCCCGGGAAGTTCAGCTGTTCGGGTCTGTTCTTTTCCCCTCCCTTGCTCGAAAGCTTTTAAACTGCCTATGGTGGCTTCCCGCTCTCTTTTTCTTGATCACTTCCACTCCCATTCTCATGCCACCGCTGTGTACACAGATGGCTCTAAGTCTTCAGACGGCGTCGGATTCACAGCAGTGTTTCCAGAGAGCGTCGTGTGGGGGCATTTACTATCTTCAGCTAGCATTTTTACTGCTGAACTGTATGCCATTCTTGCAGCACTTATTCGTATCGCATCTATGCCTGTGTCATCAATTGTAGTAGTCTCAGACTCCCTTAGTGCTCTACAGGCTATACGAAAATTTGATACATCTCATCCCCTAGTTCTCCGTATCCAACTTTGGCTACGCCATATCTCTACCAAACAAAGATATTGTTTTTTGTTGGGTCCCTGGTCATATCGACATACAGGGCAATGAACAGGCAGACACTGCTGCGCGGTCAGCAGTACATGACCTACCAATTTCCTATAGAGGTGTTCCATTTCTGGACTATTTTGCTGCAATAGCTACCCACCTTCGCACCCGTTGGCAACAACGTTGGTCAACTCTGCTCGGTAACAAACTTCATTCTATTAACCGAGCATAGGTTACCGGCCGTCTTCTTGTCATCAGTGCCGAGGTTGGGAGACCACTCTCTCCTGCCTTCGCATTGGCCACACTCGTCTTACTCATGGGTATCTCATGGAGAGGCACCCTGTTCCTCTCTGTGAGCAGTGTCAAGTTCCAGTATCGATTAGCCACATTCTGTTAGACTGCCCCCTCTATCAACGAGCACGCAGAATTTACCTCCAACGTCGTCTTCGTTATACTACTCTCTCTTTACCTTCCCTTCTTGCTGATGGACCCTCCTTTAATCCTGACTCTCTCATTGACTTCTTGACAACGACTGATTTACTCCACAAACTCTGATGATACTTTTCGCACTCCCCTCAGCCCTTTCTAGTTCAGTCTCTTGCTGCCCTTTACCCTTTCACCATCCACTACCCTGCTGTTATCCGTAACCTATTACTCATCCATCTCCCTTTTGCCACCTGATGCCCTCGCTTCCTTCCTGCCCTGCAGCGCTGTATAGTCCTTGTGGCTTAGCGCTTCTTTTTTATTATAATAATAATAATAGTGATTTACAGATACCTGACCACAAAAACTAACTGTAAGATGAAGTTTATTGTGCCTACTGCATATTACAGTTCACTATCAGTGAACGTTGTAGTTGTTACTGAAAATAGTGCATAATAAAAAAAGTAAAATGAACTGAAGAATATCTGGGAATAGAGTTGGTCATTAGGCCCCCATAAAGTCTTAAGGGTTCCCTCCCCAGCCCCAAAGACTACAGATATACTGCAGTGCTTACCATTTGTTACATAACTCCACTGTATATAGATACACAATGGAACTGTACAATAAGGCATGGGAATGTATAATTATGGTGTTTTATGACCTATACCAGTTGATGTTTTTTGTGAAAACAATATTGGGGATGAAGAGATAGTGTAGGGAGTATCCCAGAAGAGGTGTGAGGAATGTATAATTATGGTGTTTTATGACCTATACCAGTTGATGTTTTTTGTGAAAACAATATTGGGGATGAAGAGATAGTGTAGGGAGTATCCCAGAAGAGGTGTGAGGAAAGATTGAGTGTTAGGAGCCTTGAGCATTCCACTCTGACTTTTTGACAAAAGCAGATTTATTCATATTAAACAATAAGCAAACCCTACCCTGCAGTGCTATATGACCCTTGTGGGTTTAGCACTTAATTTTGATTATAATAATTGAGCATTTCACAGGCATGCATGAGAGAAATAGATCAAAGTGGTAACAAGAAGTATTGAATTTAGCATGCTGTTTGAGTACGATCAACGTAACATCTACAAAGGGATTCATGGAAGCCAGAACTGAGCTCTGGAGATGGAAAGTCCAGTACCTGTAAAGGGTCATTTGAAAAATGACGTCCACATACTTCCGAAAAACAGGTAAATAATGAGTGAGTGAAATTTTTTTCTTTGGGTCATTTTAACTTGGTGGGAAATGGATAGAATAAAAAACACCATTACAAAACAAAGTACATGTACATGTACATGAAGAGACTGCCACCTATATAAATCTAATCCTGGGTATTTATAAACTTATGTACTTTATAACAATAATAATTAGATATGTTGTAATGTTTAAAACCACACACAGGTAAAGAAATGCTGGAGTCTTATAAGCAACTTGCAAATACTTCTCTTTAGAAAAATAACATTGAAACAGTAGAAGTTATTGACTATATAGAAATACTACTCACCTTTAGCAAGAATAACATAAATACGGGAGGGTCTAATCAGTTACAGGCAACTAATTGACTTTAATGAGAATAACAAGCAAAATACTTACCTTTAGCGAGAATAACATTGTCAGCACCCTGAGTAAACACAACAACACGTTCTCGTTTGGTGTTCTCCTTTTCTAGAGCTGCAACTTTGAGAGCTATCTCCTTCACGTCTGTTACACCCAGCTTTTGGACCTCAGAAAATTTGGCTGCCTCCTGTGTTAGTAGAATATTTGAATGGCAAACATTAGATAATTTATCTAGCAACTTTATATAAAAAATAAAATACTAAACATGAAATCAAAGAAATATGTTACCTTCAAATGAGGGGGATATGATTTGATGCTGGAGAATGGTTCTTCGCCTAAGAAAGTGGAGCTACTTTTCCCTTTCTCAGATCAGACGTTACTACCTCCCAAGCACTGTATGATCTTTAGGGTCATGCTAGGTTTAGCACTTCATTTTTTATTATAATAACCTTTTACACATGTCTTTTGCAATGATATTTTAATAAATATTTTAGTTCATACAGTCTTTGGGTAAATATAACAACTACCCTTACACAGATGTACAATAAATTAGCATTGTCAAACTGAAGTACAATGGAACCTCTGTTTTCGTTTCCCCTGGTTTTCATCGAATTCGGTTTTCGTCCGTCATACCGAAAGTGTCCGCCTGCCCACTCACACATTCTAAGTCGAGTCTGGCTTTGTTTCTCGTCGAGTGAACATAATCCTGCACATTCATACGAAACATTTCGTTATAGTAATCCATTTTTTTCTGTGCTTGTTTATTGAATGCAACTGCTAAATAAGCCACCATGGGGTCAAGAAAGTTCCAAGTGCCAGCCCTTTGATAAAGGTGAGAAATACAATAGAATTCAAAAAAGAACTGGTCGCAAAGTATGAAAGTGGCATACATGTGGTCGATCTTGCCAGGAGGTACGGGAAGTCCTCGTCAACGATCAGCTCCATCCTGGCGAAGAAAAAAGAAATCAAGGAAGTTTATGTTGCGAAAAGGGTAAATGTGCTGACAAAACAGATTGCAAACAATCGAAGATGTTGAGTTGTGTTGTTGGTATGGATCAACGAAAAACAGTTAGAGGGAAATAGTGTTGTGGAGGCAATAATTTGTGAAAAGGCAAGACAGTTGCATGCGGATCTCATAAAGAATATGCCTGGAACGAGTGCTGCTGTTAGTGAATTTAAGGCCAGCAAAGCCTGGCTCGACAAATTCAAGAAGCGATCTGGCGCACACAGTGTGTTAAGGTATGGCGAGGGTGCAAGTTCGGACAAACTTGTGGCCGAAGAATTCGTTGATGAATTCAAGGAGTATGTAGACGCTGAAGGATTCCTCCCCAATAAGTCTTCAATTGTGACGAAACAGGCCTCTTTTGGAAGAAAATACCAAAGAGGACCTATATCACGCAGGAGGAAAAGGCACTGCCAGGACACAAACCTATAAAGAATAGGTAAATTGTGTGTGATGTGGAAGGCTAACAATAAGGCATGGGTCACGAGGTAAATTTTCATTGACTGGGTCAATGAAGTGTTTGGCCTGAGTGTGAAGAAATACCACTCGAGTGCCTCCTGGTAATGGACAATGCTCCTGCTCATCCTCCAATTGTTGGAGTAGTTTAGTTTCATCACAGTGAAGTTCTTGCCCCCTAATACTCCTCTCATCCAGCCCATAGACCAGCAGGTCATTTCAAACTTCAAAAACTCTACACCAAAGCAATGTTTCAAAGGTGCTTTGAAGTGACCTCAGACACTGAATTGACTAAGAGAATTCTGGAGGAATCACTTCAATATCCTCAATTGAAGTGATTCCTCCAGGAAGTGACTTCCAGGATGATGAACTTTGCTTGGAGAAAATTGTAGCCAGAATGTGTCCAAGAGAAGGATTTTGAAGGGTTTGAGGCTGACCCTGACAACCCTATGCCTATTGTGGAATCTATTGTGGTTTTGGGGAAGTCCATGGGATTGGATGTGAGTGGCCAGGATATGGAAGAGTTGGTGGATGACCAAAGGAAAGAGCTAGCCACTGAAGAGCTGCAAGACCTTCAACTGGAACAGCAACAGATTGAAGCTGAGGAAATTGCTTAGGAGGAGGAGGAAGAGACAGGGAAGAATGTGCCTTCTTCAGCGATTAAGGACATCTGTGGAAAGTGGAGTGAGGTGCAAAGTTTTGTGGAAAAATATCACCTTAACAAAGCTGTTGCAAGCCGTGTCTGCAACATGTTCAATGACAATGCCCTGTCCCATTTTAGGCAAATCATAGAGATGCCAGAAACACACCTCTCTGGACAGATTTTTTGTGCAACAGGGTACAGTGACACTCAAGCTGGTCCTATTGCCAAGGGAAGTAACCTCAGATAGGGCCTTGATACCTGAAATCCTTATGGAAGGGGATTCCCCTTCCAAACAATAAACTCCTCCCTCTCCCCTCCTCGCTGTCTTCCATACGCCAACAAGTCTCTTCACTAAAGGTAAAGGTGATTTAAATGTTCATTTATCCATTTCATTAGTGCTTTATACTTATTTCTCATTGTTTTCTGTATGTAAAACTATAGTTATTCTCTATAAAATGTATTTTTTGTTAATACTTTTGAGTGTCTGGAACGGATTAATTAGATTTACATTAATAAGAAAAAAAGGCGCAATACCATGACTGGAACGATACACAAATAACCCGCACATAGAAGAGAGGAGCTTACAACGATGTTTCAGTCCAAGTCGGACCGAAATGTCATAAGCTCCTCTCTTCTATGTGCGGGTTGTTTGTGTAGATTTACATTATTTCTTATGGGAAATATTACTTCAGTTTTTGTCGAATTCGGTTTTCTTCACTCTCTGGACCTAATTAAAAACGAAAAGTGAGGTTCCACTGTATATTAAAGTAATTCCAGATTATTAATTATTGGTAAATAAGCAATGCAGTGTACAACTTATAAACTGTACAGCCGACAGAAGGCATTCAATGTCACCAGTCGCTGGAGGTTAAGTATTTACGAAAGACATCAAGTGCCATATGCAGCCTACATGCACGTTATTCATCCTCAGGTTCTAGTGTCTTTAGTGTCTACTGGACATTTTTTATGAGCCCTGCAGGCAGGGGGTGGCACCCAAGGAAAAAATGTAAGGGGCTGAAGCCCCCAAATAACAATGCTGCTGCTTCAAGATAAGTCCCCTAGCCCCCCCCCCCCTACTTCTTGTAACAGCACTGCCACCCACAAGCCCCTCCTATATAAAACTTTTGGAACCACCCTGAGAATGCATTTAGAGCTTTCTCATGAATATACAGTAGTAAGTTACTACTGTATATTCATGAGAAAGCTCTAAATGCATTCTCAGAGGGACTATAAATGTATTAATTCAAGGATTATGTGGAGTAAAATAAAGATTGGATGTGAATAGTGGGTTATAATAAGTGTGTATGCACCTGGAGAAGAGAGAAGTGTAGAGGAGAGAGACAGAGATTTTGGGAAATGTTGAGTGAATGCGTGGGGAGTTTTGAATCAAGTGTGAGTAATGGTGGTTGGGGATTTCAATGCTAAAGTGGGTAAAAATGTTATAGAGGGAGTAGTAGGTAAATTTGGGGTGCCAGGGGTAAATGTAAATGGGGAGCCTTTAATTGAGCTATGTGTAGAAAGAGATTTGGTAATAAGTAATACATATTTTATGAAAAAAGAGGATAAATAAATATACAAGGTATGATGTAGCACGTAATGAAAGTAGTTTATTAGATTATGTATTGGTGGATAAAAGGTTGATGGGTAGGCTCCAGGATGTACATGTTTATAGAGGGGCAACTGATATATCGGAATATTATTTAGTTGTGGCTACAGTTAGAGTAAGAGGTAGATGGGAAACGAGGAAGGTGGCAACAACAAGTAAGAGGGAGGTGAAAGTGTATAAACTAAGGGAGGAGGAAGTTCAGGTGAGATATAAGCGACTATTGGCAGAAAGGTGGGCTAGTGCAAAGATGAGTAGTGGGAGGGTTGAAGAGGGTTGGAATAGTTTTAAAAATGCAGTATTAGAATGTGGGGCAGAAGTTTGTGGTTATAGGAGGGTGGGGGCAGGAGGAAAGAGGAGTGATTGGTGGAATGAAGAAGTTAAGGGTGTGATAAAAGAGAAAAAGGTAGCTTATGAGAGGTTTTTACAAAGCAGAAGTGTTATAAGAAGAGCAGAGTATATGGAGTGTAAAAGAAAGGTAAAGAGAGTGGTGACAGAGTGCAAAAGGAGAGCAGATGATAGAGTGGGAGAGGCACTGTCAAGAAATTTTAATGAAAATAAGAAAAAATTTTGGAGTGAGTTAAACAAGTTAAGAAAGCCTAGGGAAAGTATTGATTTGTCAGTTAAAAACAGAGTAGGGGAGTTAGTAGATGGGGAGATGGAGGTATTAGGTAGATGGCGAGAATATTTTGAGGAACTTTTAAATGTTAAGGAAGAAAGAGAGGCAGTAATTTCATGCACTAGTCAGGGAGGTATACCATCTTTTAGGAGTGAAGAAGAGCAGAATGTAAGTGTGGGGGTGGTACATGAGGCATTACGTAGAATGAAAGGGGGTAAAGCAGCTGGAACTGATGGGATCATGACAGAAATGATAAAAGCAGGGGGGATATAGTGTTGGAGTGGTTGGTACTTTTGTTTAATAAATGTATGAAAGAGGGGAAGGTACCTAGGGATTGGCAGAGAGCATATATAGTCCCTTTATATAAAGGGAAAGGGGACAAAAGAGAATGTAAAAATTATAGAGGAATAAGTTTACTGAGTATACCAGGAAAAGTGTACGGTAGGGTTATAATTGAAAGAATTAGAGGTAAGACAGAATGTAGGATTGCGGATGAGCAAGGAGGTTTCAGAGTGGGTAGGGGATGTGTAGATCAAGTGTTTACTTTGAAGCATATATGTGAACAGTATTTAGATAAAGGTAGAGAAGTTTTTATTGCATTTATGGATTTAGAAAAGGCATATGATAGAGTGGATAGAGGAGCAATGTGGCAGATGTTGCAAGTTTATGGAATAGGTGGTAAGTTATTAAATGCTGTAAAGAGTTTTTATGAGGATAGTGAGGCTCAGGTTAGGGTGTGTAGAAGAGAGGGAGACTACTTCTCAGTAAAAGTAGGTCTTAGACAGGGATGTGTAATGTCACCATGGTTGTTTAATATATTTATAGATAGGGTTGTAAAGTAAATGCTAGGGTGTTCGGGAGAGGGGTGGGATTAAATTTTGGGGAATCAAATTCAAAATGGGAATTGACACAGTTACTTTTTGCTGATGATACTGTGCTTATGGGAGATTCTAAAGAAAAATTGCAAAGGTTAGTGGATGAGTTTGGGAATGTGTGTAAAGGTAGAAAGTTGAAAGTGAACATAGAAAAGAGTAAGGTGATGAGGGTATCAAATGATTTACATAAAGAAAAATTGGATATCAAATTGGGGAGGAGGAGTATGGAAGAAGTGAATGTTTTCAGATACTTGGGAGTTGACGTGTCGGCGGATGGATTTATGAAGGATGAGGTTAATCATAGAATTGATGAGGAAAAAAAGGTGAGTGGTGCGTTGAGGTATATGTGGAGTCAAAAAACATTATCTATGGAGGCAAAGAAGGGAATGTATGAAAGTATAGTAGTACCAACACTCTTATATGGGTGTGAAGCTTGGGTGGTAAATGCAGCAGCGAGGAGACGGTTGGAGGCAGTGGAGATGTCCTGTCTAAGGGCAATGTGTGGTGTAAATATTATGCAGAAAATTCGGAGTGTGGAAACTAGGAAAAGGTGTGGAGTTAATAAGAGTATTAGTCAGAGGGCAGAAGAGGGGTTGTTGAGGTGGTTTGGTCATTTAGAGAGAATGGATCAAAGTAGAATGACATGGAAAGCATATAAATCTATAGGGGAAGGAAGGCGGGGTAGGGGTCGTCCTCGAAAGGTTGGAGAGAGGGGGTAAAGGAGGTTTTGTGGGCAAGGGGCTTGGACTTCCAGCAAGCGTGCGTGAGCGTGTTAGATAGGAGTGAATGGAGACGAATGGTACTTGGGACCTGACGATCTGTTGGAGTGTGAGCAGGGTAATATTTAGTGAAGGGATTCAGGGAAACCGGTTATTTTCATATAGACGGACTTGAGTCCTGGAAATGGGAAGTACAATGCCTGCACTTTAAAGGAGGGGTTTGGGATATTAGCAGTTTGGAGGGATATGTTGTGTATCTTTATATGTGTATGCTTCTAAACTGTTGTATTCTGAGCACCTCTGCAAAAACAGTGATAATGTGTGAGTGTGGTGAAAGTGTTGAATGATGATGAAAGTATTTTCTTTTTGGGGATTTTCTTTCTTTTTTGGGTCACCCTGCCTCGGTGGGAGACGGCCGACTTGTTGAAAAAAAAAAAAAAGTAAGTTTACCATACAATACAATTTTACATATATGGTCTCCCCTCAAGGGAGGTTCCTTGATGCTTGTGAGGGGCTCTTGATCTTGGGAATTGGATCTGTGCTCCAGTTTCCTGAATTGAGCTTGAATACTTTCCATCTCCCCTACAGGCACTGTATAATCCCTATGGGTTTAGCACTCCCCCATGATTATAATAATACATATATGGTATTGTAGGTAGTAGGTTGGTAGACAGCAACCACCCAGGGAGGTACTACCGTCCTGCCAAGTGAGTGTAAAACAGAAACCTGTAATTGTTTTGCATGATGGTAGGATTGCTGGTGTCTTTTTTTCTGTCTCATAAACATGCAAGATTTCAGGTACAACTTGCTACTTCTACTTACACTTAGGTCACACTACACATACATGTGCAAGCATATGTATGTGTTTTCTTCTATTTTCTTTCTAGTTCTTGTTCTTGTTTATTTCCTTGTCTCCATGGGGAGGTGGACCAGAGTTCTTCCTCCGTAAGCCATGCGTGTTGTAAGAGGCGACTGGAATGCCGGGAGCAAGGGGCTAGTAACCCCTTCTCCTGTATATACAGTGGACCCCCAGTTTACGATATTATTTCATTCCAGATGTATGTTCAGGTGCCAATACTGAACGAATTTGTTCCCATAAGGAATATTGTGAATTAGATTAGTCCATTTCAGACCCCCAAACATACACGTACAAATGCACCTACATAAATACACTTACATAATTGGTCGCATTGGGAGGTGATCGTAAACCGGGGGTCCACTGTATTACTAAATTGAAAGGAGAAACTTTTGTTTTTCCTTTTGGGCTACCCCACCTCGGTGGGATGCGGCTGGTGCGTTGAAAGATATATGGTATTGGTATCCATGATTAATGCTATACAGGAGGACCCTGCTTATACAGCGGGTTAGGTTCTGAGCTACTTTTGTAAAGTGAAACATAGTTTTTTCACTTTGAAATGCATATAAAAGCCCGATAACATTGTTTGCACTATCATACATTAAGTAAGCAATAGAGCTAGGCCAAAAAAAATGCATACACGGTACACACATTACTGACCTTAAAATATTTTCATCCTTAGATTACAGTGAGTGGTGAATATATTTATTGGAGGAAATACGAATAAATGAAGAATTGGTATAATTGAGAACCGCTGCATTAGCGAAATGCTGTAAAGTGAGGCCCTCCTGTACTGCATTTCAAGCTTAATTAGAAAAGAATTGCACAGACCAATGCAATCACATATTTACACCAAGAACACCATATTATGAAATGCAATTTCTTTATGCCTTTGAAAGAATTGGAATTAGCTTCCCATTCCTTGAATCAGTATTGATTACCTCCCAGGATTTAGCACTTACCTTTGAATGTAATAATAATACATAAATAGTGTACTTACTGTTTCGTTGCCGAAAATAATATCGACGTACTTGAAAGCATCCATCATGGGGCCTTTATACAAGTCGCAAAGGAATGGAGCAGAAAGGTTCATACAAAACATTTTATTATTCTCACACGCATGTTTTCCAACCATCATGATGGAAGCTGGAGATACTGTTAGGAAGAAGCCCTGCCAAGGAAGAAATATCATTAGTTTTATGATTAAAGACAAATGAAAGATAACTGAATATGATAAAGCATATCCAGCAATAAGCTTGCACAACAATTGTCTAGTTTAGTGCCACTGCTGTGTAACCAACATGAAAAAAAAATGAAAATTAAGTCTGACAGTTGGTACTGAAAGACAGTATGCAGACAAGCTTTTACTGGGTTTACATGTCATAAGGGTTAGGACAGAAATGAGTATAGATTAAAAAAAAAAAAAAAAAAAAATCCAGTATAATGCAATCCTTTGTAGACAATACTTTGCCCACAGAGTAAGTTTTATCAAGTCATAAATAAAAGATCAGTTTGTGACTTGATAAAGTCACTGTGTAAGAAAAACATTGCCAATATACTGCATTTGTTTTTCTTTTTCACTCCGCACTGAGCTTTATAATTAAAAAAAAAAAAGTTACAATAGAAGATTTTTCTGCATACTGTCTTCATACCTTTGACTCTGAAATTATAACCCTACATCCACCTAAATTTATGCACCTACACAATGTATACACCGAACATAAGAAAATCAACAGTCACATATTGTTGAAGAAGGGTACAAAGTGATGCCAAAGAAGATAAACTTATATAATGCAACAAGAAACAAAGAAAAACAATAATTAACTTGAGTGCCATATTTCATCTGGTTTGCAGAAAATATGAAATATTTGGGTAAAAAACACTGAAAAATACAGAAGAATATTATGCAGAAATAACATTACAAGAAATCTAGCTATGTAATCACAGTTGTAACTTTTATTAACGCAATTTTGTTTCCATATAATCACCTGCGATGCTCCTAAATTCCGCTAATTTTCCCGAATACGAAAATGCACGTGAATAAAAAAAAAAGGAGCAACTCTTTCCCAGTGCAATATCCACACCAACTATTTCAACTACACATTGAGATTACTTTCTCCTCTAAGGCATTGCAAGTCAATATTGGGCATCTATAAAGCCCAACCAGCAAATTAACATCGAAAGCCGTAATTAAAAAGAAAAAAAGAAGTTAATACAGTATATGCAAGCCTGTTAAATATTTTCATGAAGCATTTTTTGCACAAATTCTTCCCTAGAATGTTACATTGTTCATATGCACTGACAATAATTGTTAGGTAAATGGACACAGATGCAACTAATGCAACATTATTGTGGCAACATTTCGCTCTCCAGGAGCCTTGTCAAAGTTCCCAGAGAGTGAAAGTTTGCCACAATAAAAATATATTGGTTGCATCTGTGTCCATTTACCTGACATTGTCGGTAATTCTACCATTACAATAAATATTACAGAATGAACATAATTAAAAGATACAACTAAAATAGTAAGTAAAAAATAAAATTTCTAGAAGTCTTGAATATTTGTGCAAATATTTAGTGCACTGGACAGCAAAAATTCTTTGTCAATATAAGCCCATGGGTAAATAAGCTTTGTAGATGAATGGTTCAGAGAACCAGCATGTTGATAAATTAAATAAGCTGATGATATTTTAGAAGGATACCGCCCTTGCATTTTTCAAGCTCTTTAGTGATCCTCAAGGACTATAACAGCATAAAAAGCAGTAAAGGATGGTAAGAATTCAAAGCAGAAGAGGATAACAATAAGTGCAAGAAACAATGAAATGAGAAATAACAAAAGTAGGATATGGGAGGCAAAGGAAAGAGGGAGAACAAAGAATGAGACAAGGAAAAAGGTATGATAAGGAAAGTGGCAGACATGCAGTGACAAAAACAGTGCACAGAGAATAGACTACTAAGATTTCATAGTAGAGAAAAGAGAGGAAGTGGCAAAAAGGAAATTGAAAAGAGTAAGAAAAATAGAGATAATTAATGTCTCTAAGTGGTTACGATTATAATCATTCAAGAGATACAAATGTTTAGCGTGTGCTCCATAAAGGGTCTACTCGGTAAACAGTGACCTTCAAAATATATCTAGTGATCTTAATTCACTATGGACAAAGTTAGAATAACTCGTTTATTAGTACAATTAAAGGCTTCACATTCACTTAAAAATACAGATGTGTAATGGGGAGGAATCTAGAAAAAATATGTTGATAAATAAACCCCATCACAAGTATAAACCTTGAGCAATGGAGGCAAATGCAAATTAATAGGAATAGCCCCCTTTAAAAAAATTTTCACCACTTTTAATATATAAAAATTTTCTTTTCAGAATACAACACAAACCACTTAATTGAATGAAATAACGGGTACACATTTTTTGATAACCAAATTTAATTTAAATGTATTTTTTCTTCAGATTAAGGCCATAAAGATGAAGACAATTTTGAGCGTAACTTACAGAGATGTAATAAAATCTGGCCTTTTCCATTAAGGCCCAGTTCTCGGGAATTTCCAAGTGGGACTGGGCAAAATGATTGGCTGCGGCAAGGTTAGCTACAAGTGATCTGCACATCCCATTCTTTGTCACTACAACAGCACAAGTTCCTGCGAGAAAGGATCAAGTTGGAGAACTAGTGGTTTGTCTGGAAGCTTAAGTCGAACTAGAAATAAGTATAAATAATTAGATACCATTTAACAGAAGCAAATTTAAGCAACTCAGTTTACTAGGGAGAAAGGAGTGAAAACTACAATAGATAAGGAATAAAAGATTAATGTAATAAGATTTTATAAACCAAGCGTGTTCACAGGCATTCTGGTTTAATAAGAGTTCTTATCAAAATAAGGTACAACACCTTTGTATTTGAAAAGCAAAACTTAAGGACATGCAATGAACAACGTATGTAGGGGGAAATGCAAGGAGATATTTGAAATTAGGAACAAATTGAAGGAGAAAATGTTTAACAGCTATCTAAGAGAAAAATCCTACAAAGAGATGGAATATGTTTCTTAATGTTAGAATACTAAGCACTTAAATCCATATATAATAAGCTGTGATTTAGATAATAAGCAGTGGCCCATTCACAATTTCACTAGTATTTTATTATCACATCTGAAAACCCTAAAATAATTTTTTTTTTTAATTTGTGCCTTACCTCTTCTTTTATTGGTTCCAGTTTACTTGATGACTAGATACTTACCTCTTCTTAAAAGTAATTCCTTATTGCAATACAAAATCTCCCATTTTAAAGTCATAGGAAGCTCTTCTTGGGTCTCTCCAATCTTAACTACATTACCACTACCCACATCATTCAGTGCAAGGGTGAAAGAGTATTCCCTCTAGTCTATAAACAGTCCAGATATTATTCCTAGCACCTCTGTCCACTTTATATGAAATCTTTTCAATATATCTTCAGTGTTGAATGATTTAAGTTTTTTTCTTTATTTTTGAGTTTTTCTTTCTTTTTGGGTCACTATGCCTCGGTGGGAAACGGCCAACATTTAAAAAAAAAAAAAACTTTAAAAGTGCTTTGTTATGCCTCTTTTTGACAAAAGCAATGAAAAACATTTGAATGTTACCAATTCAATGATTTGTCATCCATACAATGGTTCCTAGATTTCTTCATAGTATAACAAACTTTCTGCTTCTAAAAGTGATACAAATGGCATTGCCATTAAATTTACATCAGATTCTATTTGACTTTGACCATTTCCCTAGAAAATAATTCATGTTTTATGACAGAGTGCACTGAAAGTAAAAAAAAAAAAAAAAGACAACAGAAAAGCCAATACAGTAAGCCCTCCACTTATAATGTAAATGCATTCCTGTAAATTTTTTTAAAGTTGACTGTTTACAATTGTGAACGTATTTTCCTATAGACACCCATGTTATAATCAAAGATGCATTCCTGAGCCATAATATTCTAGATCTAAATTCATCAGAATATTTACCCAATCTTTTACAATCACTATTCTTCCTTTTCACATACTGGTAAACACTTCCAGCAAGCGTGCGTGAGCGTGTTAGATAGGAGTGAATGGAGACGAATGGTACTTGGGACCTGACGATCTGTTGGAGTGTGAGCAGGGTAATATTTAGTGAAGGGATTCAGGGAAACCGGTTATTTTCATATAGTCGGACTTGAGTCCTGGAAATGGGAAGTACAATGCCTGCACTTTAAGGGAGGAGTTTGGGATATTGGCAGTTTGGAGGGATATGTTGTGTATCTTTATACGTATATGCTTCTAAACTGTTGTATTCTGAGCACCTCTGCAAAAGCAGTGATAATGTGTGAGTGTGGTGAAAGTGTTGAATGATGATGAAAGTATTTTCTTTTTTGGGGATTTTCTTTCTTTTTTGGGTCACCCTGCCTCGGTGGGAGACGGCCAACTTGTTGAAAAAAAAAAAAAATGTGTAAAGGTAGAAAGCTGAAAGTGAACATAGATAAGAGAAAGGTGATGAGGGTATCAAATGATTTAGATAAAGAAAAACTGGATATCACATTGGAGAGAGGGAGTACGGAAGATGTAAATGTTTTCAGATATTTGGGAGTTGACGTGTCAGCGGATGGATTTATGAAGGATGAGGTTAACCATAGAATAGATGAAGGAAAAAAGGTGAGTGGTGCATTGAGGTATATGTGGAGACAAATAACATTATCTATGGAGGCAAAGAAGGGAATGTATGAAATTTATACTGGTACCAACACTCTTATATGGGTGTGAAGCTTGGGTTGCAAATGCTGCAGCGAAGAGGCGGTTGGAGGCAGTGGAGATGTCCTGTTTAAGGGCAATGTGTGGTGTAAATATTATGCAGAGAATTTGGAGTGTGGAAATTAGGAGAAGGTGTGGACTTAATAAAAGTATTAGTCAGAGGGGTTGAGGTGGTTTGGTCATTTAGAGAGAATGGATCAAAGTAGAATGACATGGAGAGCGTATAAATCTGTAGGGGAAAGAAGACAGGGTAGGGGGTCGTCCTCAAAGAGGTTGGAGGGAGGGAGTAAAGGAGGTTTTGTGGGCAAGTGGCTTGGACTTCCAGCAAGCGTGTGTGAGTGTGTTAGATAGGAGTTAATGGAGACAAATGGTTTTTGGAACCTGATGAGCTGTTGGAGTGTGAGCAGGGTAATATTTAGTGAAGGGATTCAGGGAAACTGGCTATTTTTATATAGCCGGACTTGAGTATTGGAAATGGGAAGTACTATGCCTGCACTTTGAAGGAGGGGTTTGGGATATTGGCAGTTTGGAGGGATTTGTTATTTATCTTTATATATGCTTCTAAACTGTTGTATCTGAGCGCCTCTGCAAAGACAGCGATTATGTATGAGTGAGGTGAAAGTGTTGAATGATGAAAGTATTTTCTTTTTGGGGATTTTCTTTCTTTTTGGGTCACCCTGCCTCAGTGGGAGACGGCCAACTTGTTGAAAAAAAAGAAGTGAGCTACTATACAGGCAGTAGATGGACTGCCTGCCACTCTCTCATTGTCAATGTCCTGTTCACTCTCTTACTCTCTCACATTTTATCTAACACAGTACTCTTTATATATGCTAATCATTTCCTCACCTTGTTTTTGTGTGTGTGTGCATGTGTTTACCCATGACTAGTTTCAAGGGCTCTTCTACCCCATACAGCTGGCCTGAGGCTGGCCTTTCCCTGTTAATTGCCTTGTCAACCAGACTGTTTGTGCTAGAAGCTCATGCTCCCATATAGCTCTCAAATCCCAGCTAATCCTGCACTTAGTCATGCTAAAGAAATAGGTTGACATGTGTAAGAATCAACAACTGGACTGTCTCCCTTTCTTTCTCACTCTCCTATGCACTTTCACACTTTTACAAAATATCTAATTCAAGATTCATTACATATACTCACCACTCCCTCATTGTTATGGTGAGGGTTAATATGCTTGGGTATATAATGTAAGGTAGTTGCAAGGATAACCATATGAGGGAGGGTGAGGAGCAAGGTCCTGCTGTTCTGAACTTCACCCACTAAACAAGTCCAGTACATAAGCAGCAGCAGCAGAAGTAACCACAAAACACATAATTGTTTAACTTACAATTCTTAACCAATTTAAAAAAAATGCACATGCATCATAAAAAGAACATACACAACATAATTTTGGTAAAAAGTTAACCGTGAAAAAATATTTATAATTCAAGCTTTAAGGAATTTTTAAATATTAAATACCATATTTAGTGCTTGACTAATGTCTACCAAACAAAAGTGAGCTCTATATACATGCATAAAATGAATATGAACTATGAATGCATCTGGCAATATCAAAAGTGAAGAACATTGTAAGTCAAAACATCATGAGTGGGAACCTACTGTATTATGTATCAGCATCAAATACATAATTATATAAATTACTTGCCAGATATTTGACCTTTGCATCTTTGAATAAACATAGGAGGGAAATCCTTGGAAAATAGTACAGCAAAACGAGCCACAGCAGGCACAGTTAAGGGGCATGTGAGTGCCCCTGTCTTCTAATAACACGTTCATTTTTTCACTATAATCTACTTTGTCGATAATTACTTTCACATTTGCTTTGTCTATTTTCATAAGGTGAAGTCTAGGATCTCTCCTTAATTCATGGTATGACTTAACAAATCTTTGAGGACAATTGTGTTCCACAGGTCTGAGTTCTGCTCAAATCTGTACAACCAGATCCACCTAGTGGAATTGAGCTCTGCTCAGACCTGTGCAACACAATTGTCCTCAAAGATTTGTTAAGTCATACTATGAATTAAGGAAAGATCCTAGACTTCACTTTATGAAAGCAGACAAAGCGAATGTAATAATAATTATGGACAAGGTAGATTATAGTGAAAAAATGAACATGTTATTAAGAGAAGGGAAAACTCACGTGCCCCCTAACAGATCAAAAAAATTGGCAAGAGTGCCACCAATACGAGAGGATTGGCGTTTTGCAGTCATCTGTCTATCTTCTAACATTCCTTACTTGAGCTATCAAACTTGCCAGTGAATACCTAAATAACCATTGTCAATTACCTGCTACTCTTATCATTTAAATGTGTAACTCTGAAAAGTAATGGAATGCTTTTTGCTGTAATGTCGGCACACTTTTGGCGAGACAGTGATAGAGTGAGTTCAGTTAGGAAAGGTTTATCAGAAAACAGGACAAGTGTTTCCTGATGCAGGCCTTAGTCATATGATGACCTGCAGCTGGAGCTTTTGGTCACCTGACTGAGGCCTTTCACTGGCTTACCAGTCCAACCCTTTAAAAATTACGGCTATAATTTTTACAGTGGACCGTCCCTTTTCGTCAATCTCTGTTATCGCCGATCTCTGTTTTTGCTGACTTTTTTCATCAAAATATTGGCTCTGTTTCCGTTGATTTCCTCCGTTTTCGTCAATGGTACGAAACCTGTCCGGTGCCCAGCGCGCAGACAAAGCTGCCTCCCACACGCAGTCTCAGGCAGTGTCGCGTTGCTTCTCGGTGAGTGAACATATCCTGCGAGGTCATATGAAACATTTCATAATAATCCATTGTTTTTGGCACTTGTTTATTGTGTCTGACTGCTAAATAAGCTACTACGGGCCCAAAGAAAGCTCCTAGTACCAGTCCTTTGGTAAATAAAGAAATC